TGACAAATGAATAACATTTAAATTATTTATTCATACTTGGCGAGACGTCACCTTCATTTGCTACAATGCTTTATTTATAAACTGCGATGATTCAAAGGAGTGATCTATATGACGTAGTTTATGATTTTTGAAGTTTCTAATAATTTGATGCAAAAATAGTGATGAATTTTATGTGTGACGCAGTAATCACACTAATAAAGAAGCATAATCAAAACATAATGATGTTATCAATAAATTCAGGTCCGTTTAGATGTAGTAGACTATTTAAATCAAGTCTAAATTTAAGGTATTAACACAGCACTGCCCTCACTGGAGGTTTCTAAATTAGACCCTTTTCGTTTATCAGTTGACCTGTTACACTGTTATATCTCAGTTTAATGGTAAATTAACACAAAAAAAGGTATACAGTTTTAGCTTTAGTATTATATCTCCTTGGTATTTTCCGGAAATGACATCAATATCTTATTTGGAACCGAATGTGGGTGTATTTTCAATGCAACAGTTTTTTATCTTTTAATAATAATACCTATTAGAAAAAAAAATTTTGATAAAATGTTTTAAACATGTTTAAACTGTAGCATCCCAGTTTATTATTTCACTGTGATTTTCAATTATTTGAAAAAAAAGATTAACTTGATATTTACTGTCCGTCACCGCAAAAAATTCTACAAAGCGGGTGTACTACAAAATTACATCGAACCTGAATTTTCGAAAATGATGTCCATAATTTTTATTGTAAGTAATACCACAACTGGTCCTGTAATTGTTGACAATTTTTCGAGCTGTCAGAACGAATGGTTTTTGAATGAACAATAACGACAAGTGCTTGCACGAAAAACCTAAAAACCATGAGTGAAGAATAGGGAGGTATTTGGCATGAAAATTCAAACGAACGTGCAACGAAATCCAGTGCAAAACCAAAGTAGTTACTTTCATATTGCCACATTAACCGCGCATTAATTAAAATCACGGGACATCGTTCGGTTGTCTCCATTAAACCGTATTTGCAGATGGACAAAGAATATCATTCCAAAATAATATTGTTTACGAAATGAACTAGAAGGAGCATCAGTTCAGGTTCCTGCATCTAGTGGAAATAATAATACCTATTATAATTGCATTTTTTACAATGTTGAAGATTAATTTTCTTAATAAAAATGATTTTAACAGTTGACCTGTCAAAAAAAATTCCCGCTGTAATTTTCACTAGTGGATTTTACCACCAAAATAATGAGTTCATTGGTTGTTGTGAAGAAAATGATTCTTTTTGATTGGATTTAAAAAAAAATAGTGAGTGGAATTTTCACAATAATAAAATATTATTAACAATGCATGAAGCTGAAGACAATCCTAGGCTTCCCGAAATATAGGAAATTGCCCAAAATAGCACCCGATATGTTTGGGCCCAGCAGTGTCTAAATCTAAACTTGACCAGATGCTCCAGAGCTCCACAGGTGCTCCGCCGAGTATAAGAATGACGGCTATGGAAAAAAACTATTTTGAATTGACATTAATTTGTAATATCATATTAGACATTCGTAAAAATAAATTTGGGAGGTGCAGAAGAAGTTTTACAATGTACAACGCTAGAAATAAGGATTTTAGCTACAACTACAATGAACAGTATGCTTCCTGTAAAAGCACGCTAAATTTATGAAAAAAATATAAAAGTGGCCATTCGTCCGATGGACCCGATTACTATAATTCCTTAGCTTACGCTCGGGAAGTAAAAAGTATGGAGTTTGAACGTTAGCGTAAGGAAAAGAACATGTCTACAATCTCCGAAAACGTATGTAAGTATTATAATTTGTAATAATAATAATAACACTAGTTTACAAGGTTTTACCCTCAGGGAAACAACTATACTTTTCGAGGTAAAATTTTCATCCTAAATTTAAAACTGTTTTTAGAAAAAATCTGTCACGTCTAGAAAACAAAGAATTATAATTAAACTCCGTCAGATTTGGTATTATACTAGTGTCCCAGTTAAATTTTCGAGGCTTTATATCTTAAGAATGGATAGAGATGGAAACTCTGTAAACGTCATTGTTTTTAGCTTAAAGGAACAAGCACATTGAAAATATAAGTCGTATATGCCGTCGGCCGTCGGCCGTTAATTTGCAATTACAACCCTATATACAACACTTAGATATTTATTTCCTTTTCAGTTTACAAAAAAATGACATCTTTAAACAAAAAAATGAAAATTGAGTGAAATAAAGGAATAGCATATTTTACGACAGTTCGAACATATTGTTATAAAATAAACCGACACGCCGCACCTGATATGACGCCTATGGGTTTTCTAAGATGTACGGCGATGAGCGTTGTCGGAAGTCTGGATGGTGGACTCCAGAACAACCTCGAAGACGGCGTTCGTGAATCCTCTCGAAGAACGCATCGCGGTTTAAACAGGGACCAGCGTCGCGAACGGGCAGTGTAATTTTTTATTACAGTGAAATAAAGTGTTGAGTTTTACGCCCATTTTAAGCAGTCAAAAAACGGAACAATATGTTAAAATAACTGCTTCTGAAACATATCTTGTGGAATACTTATTATTTTATATAAGTGTGAGCACCTAGTTTATTTCACTCAACTTTAATTTTTTTATGTTTATAATTCCTTTTATCAACTGAAAATGAAATAATTAGCCCAGTGTTGTATATCGTTACAGTCGCAATTTAATTGTCTTTAAAAATTTTTTTATCAGCGTCTTAATCAAGATGCTAACTTTACTCTTTATTGATGGACTCTTAAATTAAAACAAATCTGTATAAATAGGCAAGTAGGTATGTTATTTTATAAAATCTAAAAAAATAATAAATAATACTTAGTATGACATGTTCTAAGGTGACGTCAGTATATGGTTAGTGGGGATGAATACACACACTTTGGCTAGTGTTTTACCTTCTACACTAACTTGAGAGGCGCTTAAGTTCAGCGAAATACAAATAAATCAACACGGCCATAGAGAGCTCGTTATGTGCGTAACCTAAATAGTGTCAAATATTGCCAAAAAAATTTTGTAAAATTATTATTTTAAAAAAGCATGTTATTTTATAACATTTAAAACGTGTTTACTATGAACATTTTTGAGGGGACGAGTAGACAAATTTTGGTTAGCGTTGTACCATCTACACAATATTTCTAATGTACTATATAAAATTTGACAACAATCGCTTCAGTAGTTTGGAACATTATCTGCGTAATAAAATTCCACACAGACAGCGATGTAAGGTGGGCGGATGAACCAACGAAAATAGGAAATCTATGTTTTTGTAGTCTATGAATCCCGAAACGCCGACAAAAATGAAAGTAACTCAAATGTTGTATTTAACGGGCTTAAAAAATATCTTATTATAAGTAGTTGAAAAAATAGTTTATGAAATTTTTATAGTTTCGAACAAATCAAAAATTAAAGTGAAGCAGCTAAACTGAGACACCCTGTACATTATTTTCTTCAAATATTTTCTGTAAACGATTTAATAAATAAAATCATATTGAATTACCGGCCACATCAGACTTAAAAACATGTTTGAAGACAGGACTACGAGTATTTAGCCAAATTTCGAAAACTTCTGTTATATACCTACTTATTATAATCTGAGAGAACTGAAAAAATTGCTAAGTAAATTTTTCAGGGAAACTATTACTCAATCACAGGAAAAGAAGTATTGAAGTATAAAGTATATCATTTTAATTTCGGTGATTTGACTAAATTTCCAACACAGGGGAGACCTACCAAAGTAAGGAACGAACAGATGATAGGCGACAAGCTTTATTAAGAGATGGCAAACAGGAAACTTGCATTTTTATTTTCTAGGAGCTGTGAAAATTTAAACAACTTATTACTTATTACATTGTCTTGCAAGTATTACATTCTTTTACATTTCAAAACATAAATTCCGAATATGTAAATGTGAAAATTCAAAGATATTTTTGTAGCGACAAGAAAAGAAAAATTTCCGAATAATAGCGATAAAAAAAATTCAGAACTAAAAACATGTTCGTGCATTATTCGAAAAGTTGCCACATTATGTTGAATTAATTAAATAAGTATGTTATATAAACGATAAACTTTAAAGCTTTTATAAAAATTAAGAATGGCACAGCTAAGATTAAAAATCTAAAGAAAGTTTGGTATGCTTAATTAAAAAAAAAATTAAAACAATTAATTCGTTAATAACATATATATAAAGAGTACACCAACATGATACGTACCTTAGTATACATGTACATTTTGTTAACATTTAAACAAATGTTGCAAAAAAATTTAAACTGAAATTTATTTCACCTGATTAACAATTTCAAATTTAAAAATATCAAAACTTCCATTAAGTTATTGTTATTAACATAAACTCATTCATTGTTTGAAAAAAAAGTAATTCAGACACACATACTCAGCAACTGTTGTATGGTTAGGGATATCAAAAATTATTTCGGCTGCCGCACAATTAAAAAATCACACAAATTCATAACTCAATTAACAATTTTTCAAAGAAGTTCGTTTCCTGCAATCCAAATTTCGGGCATCAAATCACAGCAATAAAAAAAAACAAAAGATTTAGAAACAAACCCCTTCGCAACTTAACCGGAATTGCATAAGAAGGCAATAAATAAATCGGTACAATATGATCAGATTAATTGCAAACAATTCGCTATTGATGAAGATCAAAGTGAATTTAAAACATTGCACTGAGAAGATTCAGTGAACCACTTCTTTTTTCCTACGCAACAGTCTGTGGTACGTAAGAGATGACTTATCGCACCGAATTGTAAAAGAATTGGCGCATCACGTGTCGTTCATCTCTGTTTGTTTTTACACCGAAAGGCGTCTAGAGGGGAAGAGAATTAGACCGATGGTAGGGTGTATTTTTGTGGTGATGGTACTGTAGCAAGGTTTTGGGATGAAAGTAAAATATTTTGTTAGAATACACCCACTATTTGCGGTTTAGAGTATATAAGCTAATCCGAAGATTCGCACAGCCAGATCATCCCAAATCATCTTCAGACAAGCATTAAAACACTTGCTCTGTTTTAAAACACCAGTGTCGTTATATTTATTAGTGCGAAATGAAGGTAGGCAAAATGTGCGCCAGTGCCGGCTTCAAGCTAAATTCATTCAACAAAAGTTACATCTAGTTATTTAAATACAAACTATTAGATTTATTTTGCATTATTTAATTTAAATAAATGCATTTTCGTTGTGTTTAGATTGCTCTTGCTGTTCTTGCCACTGTGGCTCTTGTGTTTGCTGAACCTCCAGTGCCCAGTAGTCAGTATCTGCCCAGCAACCAGTACGGACCTCCAAGACCATTTTCTCCCCCTTCGAACCAATATGGGGCTCCTGCACAAACTGCTGCATTTGTGAGACCTAGTAATCAGTACGGTGCCCCTCGTCCAGGTGGTAATTATCTACCACCTAACAATGGAGGAAATGGTGGCTTTGGAGGAAATGGTGGTTATGGAGGAAATGGTGGATACGATGATCAGTCCGTAAGAATTTTTTACTATTAATATTCTTTAGTAAAAATGGTAGAATATTTTAATTGCGCCCTAAAGATGTGTTCAAATACACTGTCACAAACAAATGAACAATCTTGAAGTATTTAGGTACTTTTTATATTTTTAAATTTTTGGAAATGGAAGTCAAAATTCTTGTTTTTCCTTTTGAAAACATTAATACAATAATCCTAACAAAATTTCAGGGTTTAAAAATTTTTATAATTCTTACTTTTTAGTTGTGCTATGTAGTAACAGTTGCACACAAAGTAACTATTAAAAATTCCTACGGATTTTACTCATCTAATAAAACTGGACAATGCTACATTGATTTGAAATTAAGTAATATAATAATACTACAAAATATTTGTGCATATATTTTATCACACTAGTTCAAAAAATACACCTCCCTTTAAATTTAAAATCATAGTTTTCATCTCTATAAAGGCAAAAAAAAGAACAGTTAGAATCAACAAAAACGTGGAAATGCAAAATACTACTACGAATCTCTAGAACATCTATTGCAGAAGTTGTCATTCCTAATAAATAATAGTTTAAAAAACTAAAAAAACACGCTTTTATTGCTAATCGAACTAAAAACTAGAAAATAATTTTTAATGACAGAGTTTAATATTACAGTAGTAGAAGATCAAATAATCAATCATAATAAATCACCTCAAATTAAAATTATAATAAAATTTAAGTTATTAACAGAATAATTCAATTCAGAGTAAAAAGCGTGGGGTGCTTGATATTTTAAATATTACAATCATTCTATTGGCAACTATCTATGAGAGGATAGTTATGAACCGCAGTAAAATGCACCCCACGCTTTTTACTCTGAATTGAATTATTCTGTTAATAACTTAAATTTTATTATAATTTTAATTTGAGGTGATTTATTATGATTGATTATTTGATCTTCTACTACTGTAATATTAAACTCTGTCATTAAAAATTATTTTCTAGTTTTTAGTTCGATTAGCAATAAAAGCGTGTTTTTTTAGTTTTTTAAACTATTATTTATTTTTCATTTTTTAGTCTGCGACAAATTCATAAATTGGGGAATTAATTACTTATTTAGATTTTTCTAGAAAGAACCACTCAGTGGTCTCCGTAGGATCGAGGATCCTGGCGGTCGTAATAAGGATAATGGGAAACTGTTATCAAATTATTGCATTGTCATCGATCCTTGAGACGTGTGCAAAGTTTCAAGATGATCAGACTTTTAGAAACCGATGAAAATTAAGCTCAAAGATTCCGTTACATACATACATACAACCCAAGCTAATAAAAGCGTGATAAAAACTAGACTCATTATTGTAAAAATTTATGTTGATAACTGACATTCTTTTAGAAATAATTACATTTTTTCTTGCGATGAATGATATATATTTTTTAATCAAATTTAAATAGAAATCGTTTGATATAATAAAAAGTGAACCTCTTCAAATTTTGTACAAAAAACTTAAAAATATGTACTGTTCTAAAGTCCAAGATAAATTTTGTCCACCCTTTATCACATTTTACGAGAATTTATATTATGTTAGTTTGTATCATTTTTATTTATTTATGCCGTAACTAATGTTAAGGCTTAAGAAAAATGCAATTAACATACGTGTGCGTTCCACCAAAATCGAAGTGAATGCGTGAACATTCAGCAAATCGATTACCATGCATAACATGTACCTCATTTATGCCTGTAATATAGTACCTTTCGAACATATTTTATAAACTGTTGAATTTCGCAATTCCACTTCTTTCCAGCAATTTACAATCAGGAAACTTATCCCATCGAATAAATAATTCCCTAGAACAATTTATGGCGAAAATGCGCATTCCAAATGTTGCGTAATTCTTCTTTTGGCAACAATTTAATCCACGTAATTATTAAAATTCAAATCTTTGAATTCTTATAACACCCGAAGCTACATTCTTGCGCCATAATGATATGATGAACGATCCGCATCATTTTACCTCGTTTATATAGCGGTAACGATTTAGTCATGGAAGTGCCGCCCTCTCACCGTATTACTCAACTTTCCTGTTCTCTTCTTTCTCTGGTTGTTGTAACAATTTTTTCGTCGTTCGTTTAAGGAACCCGCAAACTACAACTTCGAGTACCACGTTCAAGACGCTCCTTCTGGCAACGATTTCGGTCACCAGGAATCTCGTCAAGGCGATGTTGCTCAGGGAAAGTACTACGTCTTGCTTCCTGATGGCAGACGTCAAACTGTGGAATACGTAGCCGATAACGGAGGATACAAGCCTAAGATTTCTTACGAGCAGGTCAGCAACGGTTTCGGTGGAGGTTTCGGAAGCGGCGGTTATCCGGGTGGCGCCAACGGAGGTTACCCAAGCGGCGGAGGTAATGGAGGTTACCCAAGCGGCGGAGGTAATGGAGGATATCAATATTAAGAAACAGTAGATAGAATAGAAAATTACAATCATTCTTGATGCAGATGTTAACGTCATTATATCGTCTTTTCTTTTGTGATATCATGTTTTGACATTCATAATTTTTCAAATATCATTCTTTCATCTGTAATTTTGACATCTTATCAAGTATTACAAGTACCTTAATAGTCCCTGGTTTCGACCGGACTATATCAATGTAGTTAATGTATTAAATATTCATGACTTTATGTGGATAACCAAAACGCGAATATGGACAACGATTAACATAAAATGAATGAAATATTCTACTTGCATTATTTTTCACTCATTTTATTTTGGATATTTATTAAATGCCATATTTAAGTATGTAGATTAGTTTGAAAATATTGCGTAATTATTGTATACTTTTATAATAAAATAAAAAAAGTTTGCATATTTATAATGTTGTTGTTAATTTTAAAATAAGGATTTCCGCATGAAAGACTTACATAAATACCAGATATTAACTGAGATGTACGCGACAACGTAAAATCAAGTATTCTAAAAAAACAAAATAAGATTTAATAACAGTAATTTGTACGAGACAGCAGCTAAGTGAACATCTGTGCAATGTTCAGGCTGTTATAGAAAAAAAAACATTTTTTATTTACAAAATGAATACAAACGTGAAACTAAGCTAAAACTAATTGGTACCATGAGTGTAATAAAAGATAAATTTAAAGGAAAATAAAAAATGCAACTAGTCGTAAGACATTGCAAAAAAAAATGTATAAGAAATTAAACGATACAAATGATCAAACATTAAAATAGATCATTAAATTTAATACTCTATTCAGTTTATAATAGCTAGTGCAATGAACGGTCATATAAATTAGGAATTATATTATTATGATCATACTTATTTATTTTCATTAATAATTTAAAATTGTTACAGTTAATTATAATTCTGCAACTAGAAAAAAATATTCATTCAATTTAATTACCTCCAACGTGTAACGTGTAAAATTAGTTCAGCTATGAACTCTTAATTAATTTGTAATATTTTTTACAAGGAACAGAAAAAAAGCAATATCGTACCATCTACAAAAATTGTTGATGCAACCAAAAAATTGGTTTAAATTTTTAAGACAAATTTTTGATCTTTAATCAGTAAAATTTATTGACACCCGGTACACATTTGTATACAGATATTACTGAGACTATTTTTTAAAAATAATATTTTAATGCGTTTTTGCGTAGACACCATTCACTTTCTAGAAACGATAAATATGCAGGGACATTTTTTTAACTCTGAACATGTACTATAAAGTCCCTATGTTCAGTTTGAAGAAAAAAAAACACACCATGTATTGGAAGTACTATGTGACCAATGTTACGTAAAGAAATACAGATCTGATTTTACAGAACAAAAAATGCCAAAGTAGTTGGAATGAAGTTAATAAACTCGTGTTTTCTTCTGCGACAGTATACAGGGTGTTCATTTTATCTGTTTACGCGTGATAATTTTTGCATAGGCAACATATTATATACTCCAGAGACGACTTCGTCCAATTTAATGTTTTTTTTTAATAAGGAATCATAGCAATACAGAAAAAAAATGACAAAGATGTCAATGCCAAATAATGACAAAATTGAAAAAATGAATACTCAATTTATTAATGGATCTGCAGATTACAACGAAAACGAATTTGTAATAAATGTTCAAAATGCCTGTCTCCGCTATCTTCACAAAGTCCTATCTTACGGTCAAAATTTCTACGACCTCTATCTAACATGTCGGGAGTTATAGATCTGCATGACGCTATTATCCTTTCACGTAAGTGGTTTTCATTTTCGATTGGGACGCTATAAACGTCATTTTTCACTTTCCTCCAAAAAATCTAATGGGGTTAGATCAGGACTCCGTGCAGGTCTAGCGTACTCTTCTTCTCTAACAATAAGTCTTGGTTCAAACGTTCTGTGTAAACAGTTCCTAACGTCTCTATGATAATGAGCGGGAGCGCCATCATTTTGAAATAATAGTATATTAAGTATTAAGAACGGTAAGGGGTGTTTACTGGTCAAAGGCAAAAGTTTGGAGACGGAGCGAAGCGACGTCTCCCCCCCTTAACGTTCGTGATGCTTATACTATTTTTTGTACGACCATCAAAAGATTTGCGTCTTTTTATCAAATTCATAAATTGAAAGAATTTATATCAAACATCAACAAAGTCGTTTTTTAATTTAAAATTTGTTACTATGGTTTCGATTAATGTAAACAACAATTTTAAAAATCACTTTCCATTTTGACCGCTGTCGATTTAGATTTGATCTGGCTTGATTTCGAGTTAATTTTCTTTCCGCGACTATTAGTGAGTCATTTATTTGCTTAAAATATCAATCATGAGTGATTCTGAAAGCGAAAATGTCGAAGTCGAACACGCATGGATTTTAAAATAAAAAAAATCTTGAATGCATGATTACTTACCGTTCAGCTGAACAGTAAGTAATTTACTTACCGTTCGCCTCTTAGTTGTTAGTCGTAGCAACCCGTAAACTGAACTTACTGCTATGGAAACCTATACGGTAAATGATCGAAAAAGCAATGGTCGTACAAAAAATTATTTTTCGTATGTCTAGTTCTACGTTTTCCAACAGTTCAAGTAAAATATTCTTTAAAATTTAGATATATAGGTCCGTTTAAATTTCCTTCAAAAAAATGTGGACCAATGACGTGGTTACCAACAATTCCACACCAAGCATTAACTTTGAAAACTTCTTGGAAGTGCTTTTCCTGATACCAATGAATATTTTGCTGGGCATAGTAATTTTAGTTGTGTCTGTTTAGACACCCGTTATTGGTAAATGTGGCTTCATCCGTAAACAAAACGTTAAATAAAAAATCTTGATTGTCTCGTAATTGAGCCCTCACGAATTCGCAAAACAGTAACCGTCGGATAAAATCGCGTTCTGTAAAATGTTGGACAATTGTCACATGGTATGGATGAAATCCATTTGCCTTTAAGATGTTGAAAACCGAACCCAAACTAATCTCCATTTGTCTTGCAATCTGCCTTTCACTCACGTGGGGATTTTCTGCTACAATTTCAATTAGAGCACCTCCATTATCCGGCGTTGTTATAGTTCGATTTATAACATTTTTTTTTTTAATTGCCCAAATTCTCGTAATTTTTTTTCAAGTTTTCTAAACACTTGATTTGGAAAATCAAATTTGTCACACTTAGCCAATATTAATAGCATGCCTGTTTTTTCAAAATTCGAAAACATTTTAAAGCAAACGAAAATTGAAAATATTTGGCTGACAGAAATAATTTGTCCTAATATTGGTTCTGATCATTGTTATCTTTGCGTTCACTATTATTTAAAAACAAAAATTAATCAAAGCTGTTTATGAAATGTAAAATGGGTTGCCTGTGCAGAAATATTCAGGCATGAACAGATAAAATAAACATCCTGTATATCTGTCCTTGCAAAAATGTTGATGACATCATCACAAACTTTTGTAATGGAAAAATTCACTTAAAACATATACAGGGTGATTATTTTAACCTGAAACTTTCAAATATCTCAGAAAATAAGTAATCTACCAAAAATGTCTAGAATCGAAATTTAATCATATCGTGGGGGAAATACACTGGTGCTAAAATTAACCCTCTCCCCTTCACCTTGTAGGTGAGGCAGTGGTGAACTTCGAAACCTTAAATGGGAAATGCTATTTTTTATTGCAGATTGGGTGTCTAAGGCTAAAGGTACGTATGATTTGTCTGGAACATTTTTTTCGATTTGTGATAGATGGCGCTGAATGGACGAAATTCAAATTTTTCTGATTTGTTCTACTGTGAACGTATGCATACGATTGTGCGATTCGTTGGCAATAAAAAATACCACGTTTTATGTAAATACTCAATAACTTGAAAATTGTTACCTGTAGAAATGTATAAATGGCTGGCGAATAAACTACTTTTATTAGCGTAACCCAGGAACAACGCTGTGGACGAAATAGTTTTCTATTCCCTTCGGAATGCTTAATTACGTGATTCCCTTTGCCCCTCACGTACCAGAGTGTTTGATTTAGGTGAGTCCTCTCGACTCTCAAGGTGTTTTCTTTAGGTGAGAGACAAGGGACCAGGCTGCTTCATTTATGTGTGTCTCTTTGCCTCTCACTTATCCGGGTACTTAATTTACATTAGTCCCATCGCCTCATCAAAGTAAGAACTCTAAATGGATGGCCTCCGAATTCAATTTAGTTCTTGTAGTTGTAGTTAAGTATGTCCCAAATACAAAAGTGTTTTCAAAACAATTTTGAAATTAAAAAAAAAACACTAACGATAATAATAAAATTGCAATGAATAATATTATTAATTGCAGTTATGTCTAAAACGTGAAGGCGGTCCGTAATGAGCTAAAAATCAAAATTGGATTTAATTTTTAAATAATAATTAATACTGATAAAAACCTACCAGATATTCCAAATTATTTCAACCGAAAAGACCAGTTTTAAAGAATAACTATCTGACAAGATATTAACGTTTGAGTTCTTGTTACAACAAACATATTTCTCAAGTCACTAAGTAACGACGATTTGTGCAATACAGCTACTTCTCCCTTAACATCCGTATTTTGTATTTTTATACCAACTTAGAACAACAGAACTAGAAGAAATAAGGCCCAATACATTGGATAATACAAGGATACATAAAGCGTAATAGCAACACTCTTACCCTTTAAATCCTGATTTCCTTTCCTTCGGCTCGCATCGTTGCAGACTCCTTCCTCATGGGCACATCACAACACTCATCTTTCACTTTAAGTCCGAAACAAAATTATTTTTAACAAAAATAAACCACTTAAACAAACTAGTTTACACAGCGCATACGCCTTCAATAAAGTTAAAACCGACTGCGACTGAACTCCTTTGCGTAACACTAAAAATGAACAAAAAATTCTGGCCGATACCATATCAGACTTTTTTTGCAGAGTTTTTATTCATCGATGCATATCACTAAATGAATCTTAATTAAAATACTGCAACATTATTCATTAACAGAACATAATTTTGGCGCTATGTGGATGAACAAGAAATTACAAATGTTACTAAAAACAAATTATTACGGGGTGTTTCAACGGACAAAAGGTCGTAAAATTAAACATCGTCGCTGTATGACTGTGGAAAAATTCTTCAACGCAATCTAATTTAAAAGTATTTTCAAACATATAGAGTGTTCCGTTTAACTTACAGAGTAAAGCTGTATGTTTACTTTCTTAAGTTAGAAAAGTATTGAAATTTGGCTACTTTCACATTTTATCGACGTTTCATAATCATAACCCTCAGAATATAAAAACAATTGGTCGAAGATTATTTCGGCAGAACTTATTTCGCCCCTAAAACAAGTCCCGGCTCTTTTTTCATAGGACCATTGTTTACTGTTTAATTTTTTTTTGTAAAAAATTAAATGTACATATATTAGCGTTTTTTAATAACGTTGAATTTTACAACCATTTACAGCCATCATGAAAAAGAAATTAATGAAACGTAAAATCGAAATCAGAGAAGCGGGCCACATCTAAATTTCAACACGGCATCTCTGTTATAGGGCGCTTAATTAATTATTTATTATAATAGATTGTGTGGTTTCTAAGATCAACTAGTTACAAAATGTTATTGTTATAACACTATTTTTAAGTCTTTTCCAAAAATTCATTTGCACAAAATGTAGTAAATTGTGTACACGAATCAATTTTAAAGTGAAGCGCCATGTCGCCATCCTTTTTAAATTGGATGGCGACATCTAGAAATATTTTGGGCAACGACCACCGATGACGGCTTAAAATTCGGATCAGAAAGATCAAAGGCGCCGACACGAGTTGTCTCTACTGATTGATCTCTATACTGTGACATCACGTTGTTGGTGAGATGATTAGACAAATTATGCTCAGCGTTTAATCATTTACATGACATTTCTGATTTCCCCAAATTAATTTTTTTGTGCAACGCTAAAGACGGAGTTTGAATGACAAAAATACACACTTTAAAAAATATATTTGCACCAGAAAAAATGCTTTTTGTTATTTAAAGAATGTATTATTGTGCTAGAGACTCAAAGAAGTGAGTATGAGTTGAACTATCAGCCACAATACATATTGAAATGACGAGAACAAAGTGCAGACCAAAATAGGAATTAAAACTGAAAACACTATGAAAATAATGTATGAAACATTAAAAACTGAATGAAGAACTATAGCAAGGAAGTAATGATATGATAAAAATTCCTAGTTGTGATGATGATGAAAAACGTTGGAAAGATCAGAGATAATGGTAACGTTCCCCTTTATCTTTCCATCATCACCTCGTCACACATTTTGTTATTTATTTAATACTTCATTGCGGGAATGTTATATTTTTGATTTTTTATGTTCATTTAAAATATAATTTACAAAAGGTTCATTTCAGGTGAGAAGACATCTTGCTGCTTATTAGACCATGAAGGAAAGCAAAAAATAATTATCTTCGATTTATTTACATTAACTTAACTGGTTACCTTACAAACAAATATACAGACAATAAAAAAGTTATTTTACAACTGCTAAAGCTAATATTAAGCTAATGGTAGGACGATGGGTAAACACAAATCACGTAGTTACGTACAAATTCATGTCTAACAATTCTATTCATATACAACAATTGTTACAACCCAAATTGCGAATGGATTTTTTTTTCAGTTGACATAAATGAAATATGACCACCAAAAATATTTTTAAACTGAAGCCATTTCACTTACGGTATCTACCTAAAATTGCAAGTTTTTTGCAGAACTTGCCAACTACGTTTTGTCCTTCATATTGCACTAACAAGTGGATGGCTTAGTTTACAGCCAATTTTAGTCAATTAATTCGGATAATATAATAATGATGAATTATTACAAATGATTTAAAATGTAAATAAATAATATTTAAATAAATACAGAATTTGAGTCATCTCAAAATACAATATTGTCTTTTTATTAAAAAAAGATGATTCATTAAAATAATGAAATAAAAATTTACAATAAATAAAAGACTGAGTTACTTTGGCAAGTAAACAAATTATATTGTAAATTCGTGAAATTAGAAAGCTCGCGCGAATATTCTATTGCTTATTTATAAAATCTAACGAAAATATCACACAAAAGCACCATTGTATAATATCATAATGAATTTGAAGCGATTTTGACGAATTTCACAAGACAATTTGTTTACATACGGTAAAAGTTAATTCAAGTTAACTTATAACTGAAAGATGAAAGGCATTATTGTATTACACATTTTTCCTTCGGCTGTAAGTCTATTTGTGACAAATCTTGCTCGATTAAATCATCTTCCTCAATTCTAAAATATGAGTGTCAAAATTCAGCTTCAGTCGAGTTACTTTACACTTACGCTTTTTCTTGATTGTCCAAATGATGAACGAGTTCGTCACGTTTATTAACGATTTGAACGAGTTCATCTAACAACATCTGCTCTCTTTTTCTCTGCTCTTCCGTCTTTCTCCACTCTTCGATAGAGGCAATTTTTTGTAATTCTAAGTTAAGGAGTTTGTATTTGGTTTCTAAGTCGGCTTCTTTTTCTCTGCAAAAATAACGTAATCAGCAAATGGAGAACAATTATTAAGAATTAAGTGTACTTACAAAATATTAAGTTGCATTTGCCTCCTAAGTAAAGCATTTTTCTTATTGACAAACATGAACCATTTGGCCATAAGAGCTTCTTCCTCCTCGCCGTTACTATTTTGAGATTCCATCACCACCCTCAGCTGTTTTTCTAAAACAGCGGCTTGTTCATCTATGGCACTTTGCTCTCGTTCGAGATCTTCCATTTCCTTGTCAATATAATTATGTACATCGATACCCATCTGAAGATATTCTATGTATTACACAATCTATAGTCACGCTTCATAAATTACCTGTTTTAACCCTAACTCATCTGGTAACTTATCTGGTGTAATTCTTTCTCTATTACTAGGACTAGATTTGGTTGAATTTTCTTCTGAAATATCTACAGATTTTAGGGAAACGACATTACCGTTCTTTTCAGAACCTGAAATTTTAGGCACGGTTATAGTGATATCTGATTGAATGTTCTTATTCAATGTCTAACCTGTACTATTCTGTCGTTCTAAACTCGCTTTCTCCTCTTCCACTCTCTGCAGATTCTTTTCTTCGTTTTCTATAAACGTTTTAAGCGAATCAGGACTGACCCTAATAATCTCAGTCTGGGGAGCCGAACCTCTTCTAGCTTCTGCCAAAAGTTTTCTCGCCCTTTCCCGTAACAGAGCCTGTCTTTCGTCCTCGCACTGTTCAAAATTGAATGCACACAGAATTCAATGAGAAAGAATTCAACCTTCATTAAAGTGAGATTTATGCAAAACAAAATCAAAATACCATGAAAGAGCAAGATGAGAAGGGCAAAAAAAAAGCTACATACCCTGGTAGGGGAAGTGGTGATGGAAGCGTCTTTTCTGGTCTGTTCGATCAACTGCCTCGCACGTTCTCTTTGCTCTGAATGTCGCATAAGTATTTGCTGCACACGCGTCAAAAACATTTTAATGGCAAGCCAAACCTTCACACCAAAATGTTAATTTGTATACAAGTAGTTAGAAAAGTTAATGCTCCCACTGAATCTGTGGCTAAATATATTTTTTGCGAATTTTTGATGGTTATGAGTAATTTTTTGACCAAAAACGTTCCAATCTTGACATCAAATAATGGTGACAGGAACACTGTGCCATGTTACAGTCAAGGTATTTAACTAGGAGGAGCAATGACATACTGGTTCAAAAATTTGAGAAGCCTAATTTCAATCTATTGGGCAGATTTTAACATCTGCGTTTTCAAAAAAAATCTGGGTATTTGGACCAGATCGATTTAGAAAACGTTTTCTGTAAGGCACATGCGTTTTAGTGTTGCTAAGATTTAACGTGTGCGAAGAGAAAGTTGATGGATGATAGTGCGCTGATTGTACGATGCAAGCAATATTTTAAAAATTATTATAAAACAAAATTTATCAATTAACTAACGCCATGATAAATACTAAAATAACAAGACTTTTGTATTATATTCAATTCTAGCAATCCATAAACCCACTGTTATTTTTAAGATCTAAATATTTTTTTAATTTGATTCACGAAACTGAAAAAAATATACATATACAGTTATTCAGCTAAGATGACCCATTTGTTTTTAAAATAGGCAACCCAAAATACCGATTCCACCTGAACCTGGATTACAAAAAATGTTTCAAAATTGAATTGTATCAAAGTTTGCTTATAAGTGTATAGAAACGTCAGTGTCAAAAAAATGCCAATGCATTCTTACGATAATAACAAGAAAACTGACCATTCTTGTGGTTGGTTTGTAGGTCGAAGTGCATGCTCCAGGATGAAACTTATTTATTTGTCTAGCAATAGCAATTTGTCCCATAACTCCCGTATGAGGATTCTCATTAACTTGTGCAAGAAGTTATACTTCATTTGCCAAGCTAGTCGCAGTCTGGTTCCGTTTCCTCTTGTTAGCAGGCCACAGTGCTGCCGCGTCGATAGTTTGATTACAAATATATTTTTCTTTTAGACTATATCAACATAATAGAGACAGAATTCCGCGCACTGCTAATAACAGTAATGTGGTGAATTAAAATTTCACTTTGGCTTCACTCAGGCAACCAACTCGAAAAATGGGAGGACTATAATACTTTCTTAGGTTAAATTGTTTATTTCAGGTCTAATTATTTTCTTGCAGGTTTAATAATTTTCTTGCCGCTTGAATTTGAACATTTATTCTCGAAGTATCTCGAGCGATTCCCCGCGTTCTCGAGTGAGCCAAGCCTTTCCGAGACCAGTTTATTGTGATTTTGATCGTATTGAATGTGTTTGTTTTGTTTGTATGTGATCAGGGGAGTTCAATCCACGAGGTAATTTTGAATGTGATTTGATATATACTAAGCGACATGGAAATCAGAACACCCAGTAATAATAAAAATATTTTAATAATTTTTTGTATACATGTGCATTAGTGTAAGATAAGTAAACGATCAGTTTTTCTGCCATATCCGTAGTAGTACTTGCCAAGATAAGACTGACTTTGGCAAATGATATACTCGCTACAAAAATAACGGGTGGGTGGGCGGGGCTAGCAGCTATTTGCTAACATAAGACTGATTTTGGCTAATGACACATCCTCTAAGAAAAAAAGTGGTGAGCGGAGCTAGTACCTGCTACAATAATTAAGATCATCTCCGAAACTACCGAAAAAATAATTAAAAAACAACTGTTTTTTTGTCCTCCGAACGCTTTGAAAATTAGCCAAGGGCCTTTTTTATGAATTTAGATTTGTAAAAGTTATTTTCGGTTCCATTTCTTCGAAAATTCCAACAATTCTACCAGAATTGATCAAATGAAAAAAATGTCAATTTCCGAAACAAAAAAACTCAGTATTGAACAAAATTTTTTGAAAATTTTAGTCCGGGGGCATTAATACTTTCTATTTTTTAAATATTTTTGAGTATTTTCAACCAATTTTTCAAAAATCTCATATTTTCAATACCCACCTCCGCCGTATACATTTTTTCAGCGTTTTTCGACCATGCATCGCAAAAATTTTCTTGTAGATTTTAACTGGTTCTTGAAGATTACAACTTTGGGATTCATATCTTCAACAATTCCAATAATTTTTCCAAAACTGATAAAATAAAAAATGACAATTTTCAAGATGTTTTTTTTTTCACTGAATTTTTCGAACATTTTACTCCGGGACCACTAACACTTGAAATAACACATTATTTAACATCCTATAACTTCTGTATTGTTTCACATTGCTAATAGTGTGGTGTAATTAATTTAAATAAGTAATTTTAATACTCATTCAGTCATCGCTATATATTCGAGAGAGACAGAATTTGAACTTAATTGAAATAAAAGGGCATAAGTTCGCATGATGAAAGCGAAAAACACGGTTTCTAGTTAAAGTTAGCGGTTTTGTCACTGTATTGAAACTTGCAGCTTGCTAGTTTGGAAATACCGGGTAAAGAGTATAATATGCGGCAGGTTGTTTAGTATATAAATGTGGAGGGTGTGTTATACCTGTCTATCGAATAGAATCACCGAAGGTGGGTAACAGACTACAACGTGAAACTTAAATCCTCGTTGCATCGTCAGCTATAGTCTGTAGTTAACTTGATTTTTTGACTGCCATAATATTTAAATTTGCAGCTACGCTATCACAATAACTTGCGTATTTGCATCTAGTTACTTAAATTCTCTTTTTCTAAGTGTGTTTAAATCTCTGTATTCAAATATTTGCATACAATTTGATTTCATTTTGAAAGCTGGCTAAAAAATTTTCGCAGGTTTTTAAAGTGTGTTCACATGTCTAATTATGGCGGAATGTTTGGATACGGTATTTCCCGAATTTAGAGAAATAAGATAAGACATTTTTTATTTAATCAAGCGTAAGCAATTAAAAAAAAAAACAAGTGTATAAAAAAAGACTTGAATGTTCTTTTCATTTCAAATGTGCTTTACTTCGCAAAATTTTAATATGACGCCACAAAATTTTTCGAAATGACGTGAAGTATAGATAAACTCTGATTAACGAATTACAAGGTCCATGATAATCTTAAAGCGTGTGCGAAATTTCAGCGCAATGTGTTATAGGTAGAGCGTAATTTTTAATTTTGATTTTTTTTTCAAAAAATTAACAAGAATGCTGCGTTAACAAACGACAGATATGTGAGCGTATTACTTATCACAGTTTAAACCGGATTTAAATTGGGAAAATTCTGAGATAATGTCACCACATTTTCGGTGGAGATAAACAAATTTTGGCGAGGTTCTACCTTTTATACAATGTACGCAATATTCTTGAAACAAATCTAAAATATCACAACAATACCTTCCACAGTTTCGGAAATTACTGTTTAAGAGTGACGGAAAGGGAAGACCTACTTGTTCATATTTTATGTTTAGGAGCTATGAAACGTTAAGAAAACAAAATTAGTCATTACATTATTTTCCTATTTTTCACTCGTCAACTAAAAAATGTGCTACTTGTTCATGAAACGACATTAGCAGTTTCAAAAAAACTCGGAAAAGTCAAATTAAGAACTTACAACACATTGCTTTAAAATCTACTTTTTTAATCGCGCCGTAATTGTGGAGGAAAAAGAATACATTTTTCATTCCGACGATCATATATTGTTGCAGTCTACATTAAATACGGTACTTTTGTATTTCAATTACACACAGTATTTTAAGGTTAAAGCAAAAGCGTAAATCATACGAAAAGAAAACATTAAGTGCAAACTCTGTTGAATCTGAGTAAAGCTTGCGCAAGTATTATCATATTGCTAGTATTTTAATTTGTAGAGATTTTCCGGAAAAAAACTCTCTGATAAGAAAAATCTTCCTGTCGCTCAATCCGTACTTTGAAATTAGGCAACTCAAACTAATAAGAGTGCTTTGATGGTTTAAAGTCAATGAATAAACAAAAACAAACTTGCACAAAGTAACAAAAAAATAAATTGAAAAACATGTGCATACTCACCACATTTGGTTTAGGCAAATCTGAGAAGACATCACTTGACACTTCCTTGTCCTTTTCTTTGACAATTGCATGATCACCAGACCCATTCATTTCTACATTAGCTTCAGGTACCTTGTTATTGATAATTTTATTATCTGTAACTTCTTCCTCGTCGTCAGAGCCAAAAGGATCAGTCAGTTCTCTTCTAGTCATCAAAATTGGTTTCTTAACCTCCTGCTTTTTCTCTTCCTGCTTCTTAGTTTGAATTTTATCTTTAGAGGGTGAAGACATAACTTTACTCATTATACTCTTTGAGCCAAATAAAATGATATCTTTTACATCTTTAACAACCGTGGGTGATTTTTCTTTAGGTTCCTTAATAACTTCTGACGGTTCGTTAGTAATTTTCAACGGAAGCTGTAATTTTGAGGCGGCAATTTTCGCGTCTGTGTTCTGCGTAATTTCCTTATTTGTTTGATTTAATTCCTTCTCTTTTTTACCTTCCTGAGATTTATTTAACTACAACAACGTTTCCTAGAAATGAGGATTAAAACTTCAGATATAGAATACCTGTTGATTTTGTTTAGCTTTTCGTAAGTTAATTATCTCCTGTCCAAAAACTTGTTTTGTGATATCGGTATCCTTATCAGTATTAAACTTTCCGATGACGTAATTGCTCTCTTCCGACGTTTTTCCAATTTGCTGTACTTCTAACTGATGTCCAGTGAAGTGCGCTCTTAGCTGATGCAAATAAGTCATAACTGCTAACTTGTCAGGCACTAAAATCAATATTTTAAAAAGAATCCTTAATTCATTAACTAACTGACCAGCCAACATATGCATGTCTGTAGGCTCTATCACTCGAGGAATACCCAATTTGTCACCAGCGTCAAACGCTATCTTGCAATTTCCTTTCACATCATGTGGTGAAAGAGAATTGAAGTCTCTGGACAAACACAAAATGCAACAACTTAAAATTAATAACACTGAAAAACACCTCAAAAACACCAAATGCCAGTACTTTGGTGTTTTTGAAGGTTTTTTTGTTATTGAGTGGTCGAAAGTATATAACTATATTAAAAAAAAAGACTTACATTAAAGCTGGTTCGAAATGATGTATAAGCGCACAGAACGCCATACCGTTTCTCCAACTAGTTGTTAAATTTGTGACTTTAACCCCTGGATAGTTCTTTGTCATTTCTTTGCACCATTCCAACAAATCTTGACCTAGAATATAACGTGTCAAAATAAATCTAATTTATTACGAGATTAATACCCGGTGTTGTTAATTTTTGTTGTTGGTTTTTTGGTATGTCAATATGTTCTTTCAACTCTAGGGGTTTAAGTTTCAAATTTACGCTTTTGGGTTTCGGAATATTCTCGCTTTCGCCATCTTCCTCTAGCGCATCCAGCCTATCTAACAATTCAGTGCATTCTTCTGAGTACGGATCAACCTCGTTTTCGGCAAAATCGCTAAACCTAGGTGGAGGAATTGCTGCGGGAATTTTGGGCTTTTCAGAAATCGGAGAGAAAGTTTCGGCCGTTGGTGTTTTGTCATCCCGAGAGAACGACTGTATGCTCGTAACTAAATTATTAGAAAATGAGAAAAAAAAAACACAGTTATGTCAATGTCAACAAACCACTAATTGGAGTACTTGCGAAATCTGACCCAGATAGGCTGTTCGTCATTTGCTGCAAATGCTGTGTTACTTCGTTAATACTACTTTTAATCGAGTTATCATTTTGACTTAGAGAGAAATCGTCGTCTTCTACATCTTCTAACGCGGCTATATCATCACTATTATTATTTACGGACATTAGCGAAGCCATAGACTGCATGTCTTCATCTCTGCAAGTACGACAATGCGGGTAACGGTAAAGTGTCCCCTACACAAGAACTTACGTTGCTTTTCCTTCTCGTAAAAGGACGCACGACAAAGTACAGTCAAGCTTAGCGGAAGTAATTTTCTTTGTTGTAGTCTTAAAAGAGATTTGTAATTCTGAGTGGGTAGATTCGACACTGGCATACTTTCGCATATTGACATGTGCAATGGCAAGTTGTCTTCTTTTTCCAGTTGTTGGAACCTTAAAGTTCACAATATCTATTATATTCATATACCTACGTCCGTGCGCAATTTCAATTGTGATTCAAAACAACATTTCTATTTTTAGCCGTGATTTCAATAAGTGTTTATTAATGATAACTAGGTATTAATTAAAACTCAATAAAGTGTGAAGTTGCAGTTTTGTCTCAGACTTAAACTGTATGAGTAAGGAAGAACGTTAGTGTAACCAAGGTGTATTCTTCGCGTTTAAATCATCATAGACAAAACTTTGGGAATTATTATCTAATAAATCAACTTACTATCGCAAGGCATAATAAAAAACGAGTGTTTTATAACACACAAGAACACTAAATAAACACTGATATAAAACATTTCACGTTATTCGTCGTGTTTTAGTCTTTATAGAGGCCAACATACTAGTAATTTAAAAGTGCACTAAAAATTTGGTTGTAATTCTGAGGGTCACGTATCACATTAGCGTTGTTTTTGCTAAACTAAATTAGCATCACTAACTGCGGGTTTTACGTCGTAACCGCTAAATAATAATTACTAAGCAGGAAAAAATGGAAACTCAACAAACGAACATTTGTACAGTTAATATTACCTTAAAAAAATATTCTGTGCACAATGTACACTAAATAATGCATCGCACACAATGAAATCATGAAAAACCAAAACCAGCGCTACAGAATATGTTAGAAGCTTCATTTTCTAATGATGAAACTACTTATATCCATTGCTATAGAGACGATATGATGTCAAGCATTTTCATAGAAAGGTAAAATGACTGAATCATAATAATAATCATCATCAGTATACCGTGGGTTCTACAACGAAGAAAGATTTCTTAGCTATTTTGCTTTTAACTATAAAGATTTTTTTGTGTTCAGTTTGTTATCACCACACTCTATCATAAAGAACCCAACATTAACGCTTATTTCATCAAGGATAATTAAAAAAAAATGTCGAAAGTTATTTCGACAAAACAACTTCCCTCGCTTCTGAAGTACAGTACAATTCATCCAACTTTTTCGAAGATGTTCATTAATTTTTTGAGTAACTAATTAAGGTATCACTCTCAACAGCTATACACATCGAAACATTAAAGAAAACAGTGGATTGTTAGCGGTTTCTTTGTTATCGACGACTCAATTTTGCCTTGAGACAAACGCATTATTCTAAGAAACCGTAAACTCAAAACAGGAAGCGGCGACGGCCATGGATTGACTGGCATTATATATTTAAAAACCGGCTTTACTACGGGAAGTAAGTACAGGAGCATGGTATTTAATAAAATTTATATGGCAGTAAGCAAAATTTTGAGATAACGTTATCAAATCCAGTGATGATTATTAAAATTTCGCAACAAAAAGGAGATGGCAGACAGACGGAAGCGGGAATCCTACTTTTTCATATTTAAGGAACTATAAAACGTCTAGAAAATATTGAGTGTTTCGTCAAATGAGCCGTATTACGCCATTGCCTTTGATTACGCTCGGAAATAAAAATACATAAATTTTCCTATTTTCAAATCGATTACGTTCTGTTAAATATTTATTTCTTTGTGTAATCAAACGTATGGCCGAAAATAAGCTAGAAAAATCTAAATATATTGTAATAAATTTATGACCGTACGAAAGTATAGTGTCTAAATCGCATACAGTATTGATTTCTCTTTCATATAACAAACGGTAGTCATATATTCAAAATGTTCGACGTATTGCGCAAAAATTTTGTACCAAACAGTAAGTATGTCACAATTTTGTGAGATAATTTGGAAGCTGAAATTACGCTTATCAGCTTCATTACATCTTATCTGTAAATACACTTTTTTGATAATTTTATAAAAAAAAAAAAAAAAATACAAGTTACAAACTTCTGCAACAAATTGTTGATCAAACAATAAGTTTTAAATAGCCGCAAAAATTTTAATTAATCATATCAAAAGATTTGGAAACTATATCTTTCAAAACTTCAAAACAACTAAATTATTAAGTAACTAGCTGACCCCGTGAACTTCGTTTCACCTACAATTTAATTTTGAATCTGCAAAACCGAATGCTTTGAAATCTTGCAGATGTTTTAAACATATGATAAGCATAATAAATTTTTATTCAAAATATATTTACTTATCCCCTCCAAAAAATTGATGACGTCAGACCAAAATTTTGACAAATGAATCCTATCTAAAATGTCCAAAATAGGATAAGACTATACTTGTGATTTATCATTCCATTCATATTTTTTAGTTTTGCTTATAGGGGGTGTCTCAAAAAAATTAATCACTGAGTCAATTTATTTTATTGATTGAATCAAGAATTATAAAACTGAATTTTGAAATATTGTAGACGTTTTGAAGTTACTGTTTGACATGGTACGTTTTTAATCAAAATATATCTGTTTATCAAGCCCAAAAACTTGATGACGTCATCTCAAGATTTTGCCGAATAAATCCTATCTAAAATGTGCAAAATATCATCAGTATATTTTCGTAATTTATCATTGCATTCAGATTTTTTAGATTTGCTTTTACAGTGACTCAAAAAAATGTATGGATCAGTCAATTTATTTTATTGAATAACTCAAGAGTTGCAGAAATGAATAGTTTGAGATCTTGCAGACGTTTTAAAGTTATTGTAAGCATGGTAAATTGTTAAGAATATTTATTTATTCCCCCCAAAAAATTGATGGAACGGCTCACTCGATTTTCGCAGATAATTTTGGGAATACAATACAGTTATTTTTAGTATTACACTGCACCAATCCAAGGTAGTATACGTGTTGATCGTAAATGTTGATTCCGTCATTACAAAATTGTGTGAAGAAAAGGCTCAACTCGAAAGTGCTGATTTATGTTTCATTATACTTTTGGTGCGAAGCAAGTTCTGTCGAAACAACGTTCGATCAATTTTTTGACAATGGTTGATATAAATAAAACTTACTAGATGCTCATACTCGAAATACGAAGTATCTACTCTAATATCAAATCAAAATATTTCGAGTTTTTCTAGATGATGCTAATACTCCAGTAGGTAACAGTTGATGCTCAAGTAGCATCTCGATACAACAAAAAAGGAAAACAGTGACAGTGTTCAACCATCAAGGCAAAAATCGAGTCACCAAAATATAAGTTAAAATGGGGTAGAGACACCTTGAGATGGGAATCTCTATGGCTAGTCTTAGAAAAAACGCACTGCACAATTTATGCATAAATAAAAGTTAATTACCTGAAAAGTTTTCGATATTCCCAATCCTAATGTGTTTTTCAAACTGAATGGAACTTTTGACGACGTTCCACCTTCATGAAAGTCGCCATGTTTAGTCAAAATTCACTCTTACAACGATCCTACTCGTTTTCTAAGCTGCGTTACAGACAGCTCAGTCATTTGCCACGCCGATGCTCATTTTTAGATTAAATGGTCACAAAACGCGCAGATGTTCAATTTGTGTCCGGAGAGATGTTTCCAAGTAGGTAGTCAGTACATACAGTAGATGCTCAGGTATATAAGAGTAATAATGAAGTAGGTACTTCGTATTTCGAATATGAGTATCTACTCAGTTTTATTCATACTACCCAATGTCTCGCTTCAATGTTTGATTATGTTGATTATGAGCACAACGCTGATCAACTTCCGTATCCGAATTACCCATGAAATAAATCATTGCGGTTTGCACCAGAGGTAGTTCGTCGCACGTTTGATTGACTTCGTGGTCCTATGTCAGCTTGTCGTCTTCTCGGCATTGTAATGAACTTCATAAAACGACACTGAATCATTTTCACAGTCGGTCAACCCATTTCGGAGGAGTTCGGTTACAAACACTGACGCGAGAATTTTATACATAATGCATTATTATTTTAAACAAATTTCATTACCATAAAAAAGTTTATAGTGAGTCGACCTTAAAAGATAGACATATTCTGTCGCGAACTTTTCTTTAGAACTTTTAGAGGGCCACAATTTCGTTATACATGATTTTTACGTAACCGTTTAAGCAGCGTAAGCAACGGAAGCTGTCAAAGGAGGAATAATTTTCCCGTTTTTCCGAATTTTTCATTGCTACTTCACTCCTATTGATCGTAGCGTGATGTTATATAGCCTATATGTAGATACGATAAATAGACTATTCAACACAAAAAGATTTTTTGAATTCGAACCAGTAGTTTCTGAGATTAGCGCGTTCAATTAAACAAACACTTCAGCTTTATAATATAAGTATAGAAGTATAGATTAAAGTCCACTGAAAAAAATATCGATCCTCTTAAAAAACACAAACTATTTTAAATTTGCATGCATACAATTCAACTATCTACCAATTTGAACGGTCATTGTCAAAGATAAGTAATAAAATATTCGTTATAAACAGATACACAAGTGGTTGTACAACAACAACAAAAAATACATTTGGAATAGCAACAATTATTTCGTAATTCGTTACTTTTTATCCCTCTTTAAATTGGTAAATTTACTGTGAAAAATAATAATGCTGCTGAAACGAAACGAAAACGATCGATTAAATGACGGTGAAAAAATTAATCTGAATGATTTCATGTGTATAGAGGGTGGCGAATTTTTCATTGTTCACCCGGGGAAAAGTCGGTCATACGAAGTAGACTACAGCAGAATAACGACTATTGGTACAATAAATCTCAGTAAGAGCGGATGCTCTTTTGTAGCGTCTTTTGCGACAAAAACAGCATCAGTGGTGAACAATTTCAAAATCAATATAATGGCCTATCACTTTGTTTCATTTTTATTTCGATCCGTGAATAAATTGAAAATAATTTAAAATAGTTACTTTTTATTTGTAATAACGAGTCACGCAAAATAATACAATTTAATTATCAGTTTAAGCAAACGTAAGTACTAGATTGTTGACCTATACAATAAAACACCAATCACACGTTATTGTGCTGCCAGAAGTCCAGATAGCCGCACACAGGATTCGAAGCGCGCTCAAGGTTTAGCGCTCGCTCGAGCTTTTCCTCTCTAAAACGTGTTATTTTGGGGGTTAATAAGT